GCTTCTTCTTCTTCTTACCCTTTCGGGTGACCGTCGTCCAGGCCTCACCACGCGCCTCGTCCGTCACGGTGGACGGAGGGGATGTGGTGGCACTAGGACCAGCCTTCTTGGCCGACTGCGATCCTTTTTTGGGCGGCACCGGAGCCTTTTTGGCCTGCGCCGGGGCCTTCTTGGCCTGCGCTGGAGCAGGGCCCTTCTTGGGACCGGGGTCCTTCTTCGAAGACGCCTTCTTCGCCGCTTGGGCTGCGGCTGGTTTGGAGGGCCCGGCCACCGGTTCCACCTCCCTCCTTAAGTCCGCCTGTAGTGGCGGACGGACCCTCTTTGCCGGAAGAAGGCGGTCCTCCAGGCCAGCGATGCGAGCATTGATCATCTCACCCATGGTGAGAGTCAATGCCCGCTGCAGCTCTCCCAGCATATCCGAGATGCCGAGGGGAGGCTCTGTCGCCGGCGCGGGCTCACGGGCAGGGGACTTCTTCCTTTCAGAGAAGTCCCTCCTGAGGGCCCTGAGTTCGGTCCTCAGGTGCTCGTTCTCGTTCTCGAGACGAGCATTGTTTGCCCACAAGCGCCGCAACTCCTCCGAGGCCGTCCGATTAGCGAGCATCTCAACTATGTCGCTCATAGTTTGGGCGGCCTCCTTGATGTCCCTCACGTAGGGCCCCTTGAGGTTGTTCGACGTTTTCGCGACGTTAAAAAGTCGAACAACGCACTCATCGGCAAGGGACCTGAGTTCCTGTCGGTCCAGGGAGTTTATCGTGGGCCTAGGGCTTGTAGAGGAGCTCCTAGCCGTCCCAACCAAGGCATTTCTGTAAGAGGGGCCGGGGCAAGGCTCCTCCTCAGAAGCAGATGTCAAGTCCGTTTTGGCAGCGGGCCTCACGGACGCAGACGAAGGGGTACGTGCGCCCCTACCCCTACGAGCAGCCGGCTTCTTTTTAGCAACAGCGCCCGCGGGGTTCTCTGCGTCCGATTCTCCATACAGGACGGTGCTGGGCCTCTTCATAGGCGTCGCAGTCACCGTCGAGACTGTTGAATGCATGGAGGCATCCGACATCGACCCGTCGTCGTCTCTAGGTCCAAATCCGGGAGTGGGGGTGACCGGCCTTGAGACAGTGTCCGAGTCCCCCCCAGAGTGGCCCTTAGAAGAGCCTTCCTTCGTTTTTAGGAAGCGACCCCTTAAGACGCGAGGAGGTAGGGCAGAAGGAGTCATAGCTCGCTTCTCACCTCCATCAGATCTCTTCCGCAAGTCCGTTAAACATGCCGTGTCGTCAGTGTCCGATCTCGCAACAAGTCCTTTCCGTAATGTATCGGAGTCCGTCAAGAGTGCCATGTCGTCAGATCCAGTCCGTGTCAGCATTTCATTTCCGTTAGTCGCGCCAGGGTCCGTGCCCACTGCACCTCGTCTCAGAGGGCCCTTAGAGGAAGGACCCTCCAGGCGTTTGCTGCCCCCCCCCAGAATACGAGGGGCTGACCGGCGTACCGGTGAGGGATTCCCCAACCACTTGGTGGCTGGGACCCTCCTGGGGTAGTTTTTTTCCACAAGACGCCATTTCATAAGTTTTTTGTTGGTGGTGTTCTTAGGACGAGCTCACCCGCTCGCCATGCATCCCAAGACCGAACACCGAAGTCAAAGATTAGGGGCCGTAAAAGCCCATCCATCACCATACATCCATCCACATTCATAAACCTTTCATTTCCGCATCCATCCACATTCATAAAAACCTTCCATTCATCGGGCTGAACCCCCAGCCCTGACCAAGACCCCAAAAGAGGGCCAAGGTCCCCCTCCCCGTGACTGACTGCGCCGGTTACCCGGCGGGCGATGGATTCGTCACTTCCCGACGCCAACTAATTAACTAACCTAACCTAACCCGTCTCGGCTGCTCCCGACCTTTGATGATGCCGACAAGGCACCGCTCACTATCATACAAAATGAAGATGGTCAAAACTACATAGGTATGCACACTTTTTTCTTTTAATGGATATTTTCATTAGCTATGTACGTTTGTTTTTATTTTTTTTACGAAGTACTTTTGACATCTTATAGAGTTCCTAAGCATATACCCTGAACTCCTAAGCGTATACTTACTCCCTAAACTATCCTCAGTCCTAACTGCAAGACGCAAGAGTCTTGCAAGCTTGGCTTTGTTCTTGATTAAATTGCATGCATGCAAATGCAAAAATTATACAAGATAAGTACATATTTTATGACAGATGAGTGTTTATGGAAATAAGTAGTAGTTTATGTAAAACTCATAACATGTCTCAAATTCTTATGAGTTAAGAATATATTTCGTTTAATTTGATGTTTTAAATGGTCGGGCTTATTGTTTTTTTTTTTTTTTTTTTTTTTTTTCATATCATTTGACGACTAAGTTTGAGAACGTTAATATCATTTCAAATTATCGTAATTTTGAGCAGTTACTTTAAAAACTCGTAGATATAAAAATGGAGTAGTAGTATATTTATAGCTGAATTTAGTCAACATTATGTTTAGTATGCAAAACTCATTTAATAGTTATGTATAACAATGAAAGAAAGAGTAAATCGGTCGAAAATAACTTTCAGAGCAGCCGATGATACATCGAATATTATTTATTTATAGATATAAGAAAAAATGATATTGCTGAGATAAATACATATAAGTGATCGTTTTTTTTAAAGTGATATTAAAGTTTTAATTTCCAGCTTAGGGCCAACTAAGTCAATTTATAAGTGGTTTTTACATCGCATGAAAGAAGGAGAATAAAAGAGATATTTCATTATTTCTATGATAAAGTTTTCTTTGATTACATTTCGAGGTGCCTTGGTTCATAGTTTTCCCATTCTTTCTTGAAAATATGTTGTAATTACAGCACTAAGCTGTCGAGGAAAATAAAATGCTCATAAATAACAATTTCATACTTCATACTTCAAAATTATAAGGAGAGGATAATAATTGGTCAAATATTTTTATTTATTATTATTATTTATTAAAAAAAAAGCTAGTTGATCGGAAAGTAAGTATATATAAGTTATGAGTTTTTAACTTACCATTTGCTAAGGTCAGATTCAAGTAAATATATCTCTTTTATCATAAATCTTAGCAGATAAGGAATATTAAGCCGAAAATGTGTAAAACATATTATAAATCGTAACTATAATTAAATGACCGAAAGTCTCAATTTTTAAATTGATATCTTCTTCTTCTAAGTCGATACGTTCTTGGCAGAACGGTCGTGGTCATCATGATGTGCGGTGGCACGCTTCACAACACGTCGCCACTCGTCTAACTTGATGACGACTTTATATTGATATAGAGCTTGACAAACTTTTTGCCTTATATTGTAATATGACAGAGAGCTTTTAATTTCATTTAATCGGAAAAGAAAGTCCCAGATGATCTTTAACATAAAAAGGTGTTAAGAATCATCTAAGGTAACTAGGTTTTACAAAGTAAGTGACTTAAAGGCTAAATATAAAGCCTTAACTAAAAGCTTAAAGGATTGTACAAATAGTTATATATATATATATGTTGGCGCAGTTACTATTTGAATAATCAATAATTGAGGGTAGGTAAATTATCAGGTGTCACTCGCGTAACCAACTGTGCAAGTGTACTCATAACAATGACTACTAGTTATAATAAATAAAGGCGAGGGTACAGATTACGGATCGAAGTCAAATATTCGTCTCACCGGCTGTGAGGGCTGTGATAGCCTTCGATAGCCTCAGGGCCTGACGACATTCGAGAACAAAGGCACTGGTGATGTGGTGACGTCACTCACTTTAAAAATCACGTTTTCGCTTTTTTTCGACATATATATATATATATATATATATATATATATACATATATATCTTATGTGTCTATAAAATTCTTTTGTCACGGTGTTTGGCAGAGAACTCCTCCGAAAAGGCTGGACCGATTTCGATGAAATTTTGTGAGCATATTGAGTAGGTCTGAGAATCGGCCAACATCTATTTTTCATATCCCGAAGTCATAAGGGCTGTTCACCCTTAATTTTTTATTAATCTTTTTTTCGGACGATTATTTTTGTTTTTTATTTTTATAATGCAGCATTAAAAAAAACATACAACCCAAAATTTTTACTAATTCATCACCAACACCAATTGTATTTATACGGCAAAGCAACTTTGGCCGAGTCAGCTAGTATAATACATATATTCATTTGGTACTTTTAGGAATTTATTCTATCAAAAAAAATCCTGAGTATTCAAAATTTCTTTTTAATTTTTTCATGAATTTTTTGTCCAGTATCATGTCGTTCTAAACCAGACAATACCTTATTATAACAATTGTTTAGTATAACAAACGTAACTTCCTGATTCTTCCACAGAGCTACCCTCGAAACCGGTAATCTTTGACGACTTCGGCAAAGAAATAACCGGAACTGCCGGCCCTTTCAAAGAAGGGGGCGACTTTAAGCTTATTTGCTCCGTGAATGGGGGTGAGTACATTGATTTGTCTGAAATTCATGCTCTTAAAAATTGTATACAAAAAAGGTCGAATATTGTCGAATGATATTTTTTAATCTATGTACCTAATATTATAAGAATTAGATTTAATCTGATTTATTTATTATTTTCTATAGTTGTTATATACAAATACTATGAGAATAAAAATTGAAATTTTCAAAATATTTATTTTGATTGGTACGAATGATGACGTAGGAAATAAAATTTTCCAGTAAATGATGAGCTGTAAAAGGTTTACTTTGATAAATAAGTAATATATCAATTATGTAGGTTGGGATTTTGTTAAGGATTTTTTTCATTAACGATTTTCGATAAATTTACATATTTTTATAATTCATTTCGTTCTTCATAACAATATTGTTTAGTAAAATATGTAAAGTAGTTAGAGTATAGTATACTTGTTTTATACATTAGATCACAATATTCCCTTTGTATAATAATTTATATTCATTGAATTAGGCAATCCTACGCCAAGAGTACAGTGGCTACATGGTGAAACTGTAGTTTCATCACTGAGCGCGGGTGAGATGGCAGTGGGTAACACCAGGTCATTGACCCTCTTGGTCAGAAACGCAACCCGTGCACACTTGTTCTCTGTGTACACATGTACAGTGGATAATACATTGCTATCTCCGCCACAAAGGGTCTCCGTGCGTGTAGATCTGTATTGTAAGTATATACATATGTATAGAATCATGAGTCATTGATCATAAACTTTCATATATAATAAAAAGATAATAGACACTATATAAAAATTCAACCAAAAATAAAAACTCAAGGTGTGTAAGAAAGATTATTATTTTTAAATATAATATATAGTTTACTATAGCCTTATTTACGTTTTATTTGCTATCTTGTATGGAAAGAAAGTTGTATATACATATATATCACCTATTTTAGTATGTTTTCGAAACATAGGAACCAAATAAACACGGAAGAAGTAAATGTCTTAATTAATGTACACAGATGTAAGCTCCATTAGACAGATAAAAACATAAAGGTGAGAAAAACAAATTACATGAAGTTTTAGAAAAAGTTTTGAATATAACGTTAGACATAAAACAAAAACTGCAAGCTTTAATTCTGAAATGAATTTAGATGTAATACTTTTAAATGAAATAATTACGCCAAATTAATGTACTTTTAAGCTTGTTTTTTCTTTTTAACAATTTTTATCACACTTTATGAAAATAGGGAGGAATTTTTGTCATCATGCTGTTTAAAATAATAAAAATAAGAAAATTTTATTTTAGCAACGCAGTCATCCTTTTGTTAAGTTTCTTGTAAAATTTTCACTGTATAAAAGCCTTGTCTAAAGGAAAAAGAAATGACCCTCGAAATTTGAAAATTTCCGGAACGCATAAATCGTTTAATGAATGTATATGGGATGGAAAAGTGTTTCAGCGTCAAAGCTAATGGAACGATGTTGTTTCTGTCTTTAGTAAGGACAAGAGTAAATTGCCCTTAAATTATAGTTGCATCCAGATTCAAACAAAAAAAATAAACAATTATAGTTAGTGACAGTATAGTTTTTCCCATACGTTGTATTTTACCAAAGTCTTATCCACTAAGAACCTTGAACTAGAATAATATCTTTGATTTTAAAGGAAATACCCATATTTTGTGTTTTAGAAGCAAATAGAGTTATTGTTGAAAAACAAACTACTTTAACACATACAAAGAGAATTCAATACTCCACGTTTTTAAGATGTGATGTGATCTGTGAAGTACTTCGTTCAGGTTTTCTTTATTTAGACAAAATTATACATACAACTGCAGTTGCATTTTCCGTGAGTGTGGCGAGAAAATTGCAACCGTGCAAATATTTTTATCTTTAAGAAATGTTATGAAATGAGTAAATACATTTTTTGTTAAGATATGTTTAGTTTTTTCTTCTACTTTGAAGCTTAAGCATGGTTTTATGTTTCTCTGAGTTTTATTAATCCAGATTATTATAGTTGTCGTTTGATTATTAAAAAAAAGATTTGTTGGTATCATATTATAAAATATAACTTTTATCAAATTTAATACTTCAATAATAATTATTAAAATTATCCAATTTTAATCCCACGATTCAAATAAGTTCTTAAGAACTTATTTGAATGGTGGACCAGAAAGATTGATCTTAGTCTCCATTTTAAGGGATGGCTGATTTTGATTATTAACAAAGTTATGGCCATTAACATAAAACATTTTCTTGTCAGTGCGGCCACTGTCAGTCGAAATCTTATTGAGGGAACAACCATTATCAGTGGGAAGACAAGCCGAGCTTTGGTGCAAGTCAACCGGTGCAAGACCTCCAGCAGTGGTCACTTGGTGGCTAGATGGCAAGGAACTTGAATCTATAATTAAACAACAGGTTAACTTAATAAACAATTATGATTTTTATTCGAACGAATGTAAACTTCACATTATGCAAAAACTTTCATCTCTTTTATTTCAAATTATTTTATAAAGTTACTTTTTAACAGAATTTGGAAGAAAGAAACGAGACTCAGTCCCTGTTGAAATGGACACCTTCAAAGGAACAAAACGGAAAAATACTCACGTGTAGAGCAGAACATTCCAAGTTCAATAGTTCAACGATTGAGAGCAAATTGCTCCTTAATATTTATTGTAAGTATTCTTGTTTTGTATTAGTTTTTGTTTTTATAATTTGTCTCTTTGTTTATATTTTTAGCATAGTAACAGAACATTAAAAGTAATATTTTTATTTTAATTACATACATGTGTTTATGTATTATAGATTTGTTGTAAATCTAATTATAACTGTGGTTGTATGATATAAAGTATATTTTTTTCCTTATTACGAGTTATTATAAAACTGACTTGTTTCAATTAACTTAAAAATCTGTCTAGAACCTACCAATATATATGATAAACTTATTATGATCCAAAAGGGCTTAAACAGAACCATATCATTTTTCCGAGCAAATTGATACAAACAGTCGGGAATCATAAATAAATACTCGAAGCCTTTTAAGCTTTAAAGGTATACTTTGAACCCTTATCATTACTCGCTTCAATAAAAAAGGTTTCGTTTTTATTTTATATGTATTCTACCCTTTTTTCATTTTAAAATTCCTTATAATGTTTGTCTTTAGTCTTAAGTGGTCTGAGTAAATAAGAAAACTTTAAAAAAATTACTTATTTATTCATTCTTGATTTATGTTCCCTGAAATAGTAATTTGAATATAAACAATGAAATAAAAACAATTGACAATTACTATACAAATACATAAACAGACATTTCAAAGTCACCAACTTTACTTCCGTAGGTGTCCGTTATTTAACGCTATTTATATGTACTATTACTATAGATGTCTTACATAGTTTTTACATTCTATTAAAATTTCATAGCTGGAATATTAAACATATTATAGGAGTCTCGTAACTATTTGGCATCCATAACGGTTTTTTGACGGCAGTTGTCAACAGCAAAACACTATCATATCTCAGAATAACAATATAAAATTTATATTATGAAATAAGCTCGATCCCATCACTTCTTAATCTACGTTAAACAATAATGTCGGTGTTAAAATAAATATATATGATTTTCTTCCTTTTTATCATGTGCTCTTGAATAAACAGAAACTGAAAATTTTATACGAAACACTATTTTGGATTACTCTTTTTATATTGTTTTCTATTATTTTTATGTTGGTGTATTTTGGTATGTTTGGTTTGTAACAATATTTTCCTGCGTATTATTTTCAATGTTATGACTATTAACTTCTTTTATTTCTGAAATGAAATTGAGTCAAACCCGTTTGATACAGAGAGGGTTTGTGACAAGGAGAAAATAACTCAATTTCAATTTATATAGAATGAATGAATGAATAATTTAACAGATGTGCCGGTGGCTACAATGCACCTTGGCGCGAAAATGAACCCGAACGATATTGAAGAAGGAGACGATGTGTACTTCGGATGTGAAGTTGATGCCAATCCCCCTGCTTATAAAGTTGTATGGGAACATAACGTGAGTTCGAATTTATTTCGCCTTACTATTTTATTACAAAATATTTTATGATATAAAATAAAAATCGGCAGAAGGAAAAAGTTTAACCATGACACATTTGATTTCTGCTCTAATCTTTTTTTTATTTTCTATAGTGAATAGCAAAATAGTTTTCAGAATTATATTTTTGATTTCAATAAAAATCTTCCTAGAGATGTACCACATTAACCGCAAGTCGAAAGTTAATTAACATTATAATATTTCAAATTTATGAGTGCTTGAACATTTTAAAATGAAGTTTGCGTTTAATTTCCATAATGAAGGTGTTGTATGTTTTTTTATTCTCAAAATAAAAAATAGTTTTTTTTAAATGACACCATAAATTTTATACAATATTTCTTAAATAATTTATTATATATATATTTATAAATAAAAATATTATGTGTGTTAAACGTCCAGTTTTTGTTAAAAAAAACCAACAGTTATAAAAATTTATTGAAATATTGCTCCTTAACTGAAGACATTATAATTCACTCATTATACTTTAATACGATATTTTCCAAAATTTATATCGAAAATAAAGTCAACTTTTGCGACGGCTATGAAATCACACTAGACGACTTCGTTCTTGTTAATAAGATAAATTTATGTTCCAATGTAATGCAATGATTAAAAACCTATCTCTTTTAAGCTCTAACATGAAGTTGAGAGACAATTTTATTCAGGACTTATTTTAAAGTTGGTTTAAACTTTCAAAATCTAATAAAATAATATAAAAAACTCATCATCAGGAATAAATAAAATAACAATTTAATCTTATTTAAAAAACCTCCTCCCGATTCATTGTCCTTTAACGATTATATTGTCTCGCGTTTGGCACTTTATCCAGTAATCATACGCCAAAAGTACTATAACGATACGTCATATAGGAAAACACTTGTAATGCTCGTTACAATACTAATGACCGATATATTAAAAAATGGCGGTATTTATACAAAATCATATTGACCTAATTTAATATTAAATTTGCAAACTTAAAAGATAATGTTAAACATTGTTTATCTTAATAATTCTAATGGTTATTGACGGACAAATATTATAATTTAATAATACAGGATTATGTAACATTAAATATTAAAGATTAAGTATTACACCGGAAGTTGATAAGCAGCAGATCAGTAAAATAAGATTCTAGTAGCTAAATCCTTACATTATACATAATAAAACAAAATTATTATAACATTGATTAATCGACATAATTTGAGAAAATATAAATAACAATAAGCACTATTTATTAATTGCGCCGGAAGTATTAATTGGTAACAGTACCTTACATCGTTTTATAAAAGAAATGATACTCTTACATTGCTGAACCGATACTAAACATAGCTAAGAATTGCTGCAACGAATCAGTCCTTTCCTTTCAGACCTACGTTGAATCAGACATACACACACTCATACACATTTTCACCCATACATACAAATGTGCATGCACTCACAGACATCTCATTTAGAGTTATTTAACGATGAAGCAAAAATTTTTATGTTATAATTATTATAAATCTTTACTGCAAAACATTTCTGTCTTACAATTTGTTAAAAATCAGTTAATATATAAAAGAATTTTGTATATCCGAAACATATTAGTTAAGATTCTTAGAATAATATTCAATCAACCTTTTCAATGGAATTATACCGAAAGGTTTTTTCAAGTACACACAATTTTTCCTACAATTCATGCTTTTTGACGAGAACCGCACAAAAACCTTGAAGCGTCAATGTAAACACTTATGTATATAGTATAATATGAAAATATTTTCTAGAATTTTATATATATTTTTGACAAACAACATATATGTAGATATAAAGCGTCCTAGTTCACCGTAGCGGTTTTTAAAGAGAGAAATATTGTTAAAATATATATGTTTTATGTTTTTATCCATTTTTGTATCATCTCAATTGAGAGTTGCACGTCGATTTATACTGAAAACATTTTTATTTTTTGCTTCAACAGCTTTGTGTCCATATCTAACTTGTCTATTTAGTCTGCGTTCGAATTGAGTTTTATCAATAAATTGTGAAGAAAAATCAAGAAATTTGTCCCATATAATTATATTAATGTAATATATTTCTAAAAATTATCTTTATTTAGCAAGTTAGATTAATATTTTTTCTGCTTTTAAATTAAACACTCATACGTTTACTTTTTCCTTATTGCAGCTTTATCCTACATTTTTTTAAGATTTTTCAAGTGTATCAGAACTCTATTAATTTAAAATTGTATACGAATTAAATCAAATCACCAGGGTATTCTGCTACAACACAATCCTGCCAACGGAGTGATTCTAACTGGCAACACGAATCTTGCACTACGTAATGTGTCACGACACCAGGCCGGCAACTATACCTGCACTGCGTCGAACGTCGAAGGAGATGGAAAGTCACTTCCCGTGCGAATGAGTATCGTTTGTAAGTTTTTATTTAATCTTTACAAAACATATTCATGAAAAATTTACAAATAGAAAAATAACTGATAGAAAATATAAAAATAGCTTAAAAATAAAAAAATACATAGCTTTTAAATAAACATATTTTATAGAAATTTTAACAGATTTTACTAAAGTAAATTCCGTTTTATGCAGATAAACCTATATGTCGATCGAAAGATATGATAATAATAGGTGCAGCTTTACAAGAACCATCAAAGGTGGAATGCGAGGTGGATGCTTTCCCTCCCCCGGACACGTTTGAGTGGACACTTAATAATTCTGCAGGCTCAATAAAGGTTAACCCTGTAAGTATGTCTTTCATCTTTACAAAAGATTTAATAACATTATATCCGTAATTTACTTAACGTAATATTTAGTTTGATATTGATAATGTTAGAATTGATCTAGAAGATGCAAGAAATGTACCAAAGTTATATTTACAAACCTTTCAAAATTAAAGAGGTATAGCATATGTTTAAGTTTATCATATAAAATTATTTAAACACCCTTTCGTTCAAAGAATCCCTTTGACAGGGAATACGCTAATAAAAGGAAAAAACATTTTGAGACTTTAAAACCGATTGATGTCGCGAAAGGGTTTAACTTTGGGAATACTCCGATGCTACCCTTATAAAACTATTGAGCAAGGATTACTTGTGTTATTTTTCATAAGGTACACATAAATAATCTTTCTCAGTTTATTTGATATTATGTTTATTCTGATATTTACATAGTGTAGCAAACAAATTGATAGTAAATTTACGTATTATTACAAATCTTAACCAATATTCGAAGAAGAAAGGTTGAAATAAAGTAAAAATATAACAAAAAAACTTAAACCTTGTACTTTTAATTAAAATAATGATTTAGAATTATATTTCGTAGTTATTATTATTTACTTCATTAGAAATGGAATTAACTTTACATCAAATTTATTAAAACATTCATACATACTCGTAATTACTTAAGAATTCTCTTACAATTAAGCTAAGCGCTTAGTTTTTTAGTGAATCTTTAAATGGGTTTTCTTTTTCGAAGGAACTCTTTAACGTCAATGGTCAAGCCGGAAAATCAGAGTTAACGTTTGTCCCTGTATCTGACAAGGATTACGGAAAGTTGTCTTGTCGTGCAACAAATCTTGCAGGACAACAATTGTTGCCATGCGTGTACACTATACTGCCTGCAACTAGACCTGACCCACCCTCTAACTGTTCAGTATATAATCTAACTGATGATTCGCTGGATTTTACTTGTCTTGCGGGTAGGTTCTTTTGTTATTATAATTTAAATTTCAAATTAAAATAATATTTTGAATATATTTCTTTATATTGTAGGGTACGATGGTGGCCTTCAATGTATCTACATAGCAGAAGTCTGGGCCAGTGAAGGTTTAGTAACAAATTTAACAAATGTTGCTACAGTTTGGAATCTTAGAGGACTTGGAGCTAAAAGACATTTAAACATTGTGGTATATGCTGCAAACACAAGAGGGAGGTCTGAACATGTCACATTAACAGTAGAAACTGCCCCGCAATTATCTCCTAGAACGGGTAGGTCCTTTAATTTTACCATATTATACTATTTTTTAAACTCACGAAACTTCTTGAATGTCTTTGTTTAATTTTATTATTTTATTGTTTTTAGTTTTCAAGGTGTTTTTTTTACAATGTTAATAGTGGAGCATTTCTACTGGGTTTCCTAATTTTAGAAAATCGTAATCAGATATTTAAGACAAACTTTTTCTTTGATTTCCTTATAAAGTATAACCTAAGAGCGAAGATTTTTAACACTATTCTCTACAAGTATAATCGGAACATGAAAACTTTTGTCGTACTCCGTTGCTTTATCTCGTTGAAGTTGCATTTGCTCCGAATATGTTTTTAAATCTACTTTCATGGATAATGAAATTTTGAGTTTTTGTTTAATTGAATTGAATGAAAATAAACGACGTATACATTAAATTTTTTGACGTTTATTTTTCTGTTTCTAGATTAAAAACTAATTACTTTGTACCATGGGCTCTAATAGTTTGAAAAAAAAAATTACAAAGGTTTTATGTATGGTATGAAATTTAATCCGTGTTGACAGGAATAAATAATTTTATAAAGATGTCAATACAATACACACTTCTTGTATTTTTAATATAAAAATAATGTAAACTTCATATACTTTTATAATTACGTAGAATATTTGCTTTATAAACAATGAAAGAAAATGTTTTTACAGTCAATCAATCAAGGTTATGTAATCTTATCTGTGAAAAGGCCATCTTATACATATTAATTTTAACACTGACTAATGATTTCAACATTCAACTTTAATTATTACAGATCCCAAATCATAAAGTTGAATTTCTTAGTCAATTTATACATATTTTTAAAATTTAATTTCTTGAAAATTTATCTATTGGATATTTTTGACTAGCGCCTCTTAATTACGCTATTAATATTCCGGGATTTCAATTCGAAATTAGAGTTTTAATAGTATTTATATATTTAAATAAGAAGCAATCATTAGCTTTTAATATTATTTTTCGTAATTTATGATAACATCTAAGTATAAATTTGCTTTTAATAACTTTTTCAATTACGATTCTGTGCACAGCTTCTATAATTTTTAATACTATTTGCGTTTCTTTGATGTTATTTTTGTATAAACTTAATACATTTCAATATAAATAAAAATATTTAAAATGATTCTTACTTCTTATAGATATTTAGCTTTCATTCTATTAAGGTAAGTAAGAAGAAATATTTTCCAAGTTAATATCAACTGTACTATACTAATGTACACGCATTACGTTAATCTTGAAATAATAATTACACATCAAAATTACTTCATGTTTACAAGATTTAATTGAATTTGCAATGATTGTTTTGATCCGTATTAATTTTTTACTTCAAATGAATTACACAACCAGTATTTTTATACATATATACCACACATTTAGATAACAATACGATCTTTTACATCAAGAGATATACAATATGTCTGTACGGTCTATTTTATTTTCAGAAATTAAAGAACAACTGTAAAAAAAAGAAATAAATTTAGGTATCTCTGAAATAAGTTTTACTTACATATTCATTATATACTTCAAATATGACATTATATAATGAGTTTATTTTACCATTTTAAATATTACTTTTAATACATGCACTTATTTTTATATATTAACTTTTGTCGGTGACGATATATTGTGTAATTCTGTATTATAAATGTACAATAGTTCTCTTGCTAATGCTTTTCACCTCCTAACGTATGTAAAAAAAAGATGGGAAATATAAACGCATGTCAATCTGACACATTGATCCAATTGTTTGACCAGTTTGCTTAAACCACACCATATATTACGCTGAGATTATTTACGATATTCACGAAGTTTACGGTATTCACAACTCCGCATTTTTCACGAATATGCAATAATGGTGGCTTTTCAAAATTGATTTATTTTAATATTGCATTTACGAAACCTTTCGTGACTTGTATTTTTAAATTACAAATATTATAGTATTATCTTTTATAAACTCAAACTCTTCATAGTTAAATGTGTATGTTCTAAACGAATTATGCTTCTCAAATATCACGGCTAGCTTAAAGTAAACGTTATTCCATTATCATCAAAATAGCAATTTGGTTTAAATTCGAGTGGAAGTTTCAGGACTTTATTGACTTTGGTTGAGAGGGCAATCAAATAACGTAAAATATATTAAAATTTAACAAATTTACTGCAGGATGTGTATTGTGCTATTTGAATAACTATTATGAATGAATAAATAAATTGAAGCTTAGTGAAAACTATCTTAGAATTATAGAAGTAATCATGGTCTCCATGGTTAACTATTTTTGTCAACTTTTTATTAGGTATAGTAACACAACATTATTATATAAAATTGGAAGGCGTTTGTGGGTCTCTTAACGCGTTGACACATTAGTTTTGTCCTACATAAAGAAGACAGCTATGAAGGTAGAGTGGGAAATGCTGAGTTTTAAAACAGACATAAAAGTTCCTACATATTAATATTTCCTTACGCAACGTCTTGCAATAAATACTTTTTTTTTCAAAATTGTTTAATCTTATTTACTATTTATATTTGTTTTTTTAATATTTAATTGGATATTTCTTAATGAACAATTAGACTAGAAAATAGACATTTGAAGGACAAATTGTATTATCGAAAAGAAACTTCATATATACATTTATCTGTTTTAAGTTATTTAGACAGAAAAATAGGGGGAAAAAACCATGTTGAAAAATATTACGTAATATCATTTAAATTATACGATAACAAGCTCCCTTATATTAACTTCTTTTTCTTCTACCTGGCAATTTCCGAGGTTTAGCCGCGGTCTGCCTTACATGTGGTAAATAGTTTTGGCTAATTGTTTTTACGACCGGCCGCCTAGCCTGCCTGACATTAACCGTCTTTGGGAATGTAGTAATCACTGATGTCTAAATACTCTTTGAAAGTATATATGACTCGGAAAAATCACATTGATACTTGCCAGGATCGAACCCGCACCGCCATGCATGAGAGTCGAGCCCTCTAACCACTAAGCCACCATTATGGTAGGTAGGGGAAGTATGGGCAGTTGGGAGACAGGGGCACCCCCTTTTTATTCTGATTTGATTAGACATTTTATTTTTTCCTTGATTTAATAGTTTACTTTACCGACTGAGAGCTCTGTTCATCCATAGTCTATCTGTCATTTCTGTGAGTTGTCAAACACAAACACGTTTGAAGGTTATGGGCTCGTAAAAGTAAATATTTTGTTGGGGATTCGGATCGTAATAAAAAGAAAACTAATGAAAGGTATGTGTATTTTCTATTATTTATCTATTGTATATTTCCTAATCTATAAATTAAACTGAAATTGAAGCCTAAATACCTAGACTCAAAATAATACCGGTAACCTAAGTCGAAAATGTATACAGACGGAGCAATGGGCATTTGGCGAGCGGGAGGGTTGGGCATGGCCAATGCTTCCTCCTATTATGTTCAGTTTAGGAGGATTTTTAACATAGCTAGTGTCCCTTTAGACGACATCAAAACTAAATTGCCAGTACCAAAGACATGCAATAAAACCAAACGTGGTAGCTCTAAGTACACATTTGATAGTCCTGTATGGGTTATACCCAATCACAGATAAGTTAAGATACTATTTAAGATGTTTTTAAATTTTGTAAACTTTATTTTTGGTTTCTTTTATTTTTATAGTTTAATAATAGTTTATTTGCTAACTAATTTTTGAATTCCATTATGGATATAAAGTGATTTATAGACTGTGCCCAAGCCTGCCACAGGGTATGCCCAAGTCTCCCTACCATAGGGAGCATTGTCCACTTTTGACTTAGTTAATAAAATATCTCGTAATGTAGAAACTGATTGTATTTTTTAAGAAAGCTCTTTAATTATATCTAGTCAAATGTGTGGCGCAATAAGAATTTTCAATAAAAGTTGATTATCTATAAAATCAGATTTTTTATGCAACAAATAGTGCAAAAGTGCCCATCCCTCCCCTGCCTCCCCTACATGACTTAAGCTCCCTTACATTAAATTCCTTGTTTGCTATTTTAGTATTATCATAAAATTTTCTTTGACTGAAGACAATCATAAATTTTCAAAAACCTTTATAACCGAATCTTGGAAGTTGTAATTTTATACCGTAAAAATAATTAGATACATATAACAATAATTCATGTTTATATTTTAACATGCTTATGCATTACATTACATACATTACTTGTAGTATCTTTTTACACATTGTTACTCCAGCCGGCAAAAGTACTTGCTCATGTAAAAATATGTGAGGACCGGCAACTATGTTCATATTTTTTTGCTCTAAACAGTAGAAAGTCACATGTTTCTGGTAGTTGTAGATTCTTTTCTTCCACCATTCACTTGTCACATGTCTTGGAGTAGTCAGTAAAAAGAATTGTGATATATAAAGGTTTAGTTCTGCGTATTTACGCAGTATTGTATAAATATATTTGAAGTCGAAAATTTATATTTATTTTTTACACATAATTTGTTAAGTTGCGAAAATTAAAAGTGATGCAGAATTTACTGCAAATAATTTTTCCTGACTTGCGCGTAATATTAATAAGGAGAAAAAAGATAATATGTAAACAAGCAATTAATAAGAACATTTTTTAAATATATTCTTACATCTCAGCAGTAGGCTCTTACATCTCAAGATGTAATTTATTTTCGATTACAAGTGGTATAATGTATTATAAACCATGTTACTGTGAATGTCTGCAACTACCTAAAAAATATTAAATCCAGGAGGCGGACTTTCAAGTAAAATTACATGATTACCTATGGCTTTACACATGACATACTTATGGATTTACTTTTGGACTACTTGTGTATTAATATCTCGCTTTTTGAAGAAACTACTTCCTAAGCCGACTGAAATAGAAAATGTAACAAAAAAGATCACTGGCTATTAATAATAAAATAATTTATTTTCAAATCCAAGTGACGTAAAATCATAATGTTTATGGACAATATACAAATGAACGAACTGATTGAATTTGAATAACTACTCTGGTCAAAATATAACTAAACAACGTTGATATAAAAAGTAAATACCAAAGTATTATCAAAAGGTTAGTAAAATATATATAAATTGAGTAATACTTGAAATAGTTCAGGTATCAAATAATATGCAAGTATGCATTTAATTAAATGGAAATTGTTAATGGTTTATGTTAAGTATCTTATTATGACAGTGAAATAGGACCTGAAATAGCAGGCTTTAGTAGCAACTGTTAGTTTAATCTGAACAATGTATTAATGTATAGAAACAATAAATGATTTTATTACATGTAAGTAGACTTTGCATTAGTTAAAAATATTAAAAAAAACAAAGGCCACTTACACAAATTATGTCTAAAGAGATAGGATATTAAAAAAAAATATATAACTTATGTAAAGATTCAGGTTCATATTCTGAATGTATTCCTCATTCAAAACCACTATACCGAATGCGCTAAACTCATTTTGGACACTCAACTCAATCCAGTGCTGAGTTCATTTGATAATCTACAAAGCTCAAAGCTCGGTGACTAAAAAGGGTTATCACCTTCTCACTTTTCTTCTTCTATATCAATATAAATTATCATCAGAGATACATAATATAATCTGATTTCGACGTAGACTAGATTATTAAATTAAATAGAATTTTAACATATTTTAAACGCGACATTATTTAAAATATAAAATTTTTGGTATGTTACAAACTGGATATGATGATCAGCTGTGGTGTTTTTCATTTAACTCTTAGTGGTTTATATGTTGAAGATATTTTTACATAAGTGTTGACCGCCACATTTTCATGTAGACTTACTTTTATATATATTTTTTTGTATATCTTGTTAAAAATAATTGAGTTAAAATTTACTTATATTTAATTTATTAATTTATTTTAGTTCAATATACGCCGTCTGGCATGAAAGTATCGAGTTTCTGACATGACACGAAAGTATCGGCTTTCTCGCAAAACACTAATATTTGGTTAGTTGGGATTTGAGTTTTGTACCTATGTACAACATTTATTTAGTGGCTTGCATAGTGGCATTTGTATTGTATTTTATTTTCGTTTAACTTTTGAGCAAAATCAACTCTGAATGTGAGAATATCTAGCTTTCTACAGAACATATTAAAGCTCATTGGGAATAACCTACAGGTAATACTTATTATTGATTTGCTAATTTTCAATATTTCATAATTTACTAATATTTTTAATAGAAGAAAACTACCAGCGAAACCGTCCCTTTGGAGTTTCAATTTTTTCTCTTTAATATAGCTTTGATTCGCTTGAAGGTAATTTTTCCGTATACCAAGGTTAATTTGGATCTATTGTTTTTATAAACCAGAGTAATTATAGAGTTTGGTGAACTAAACTTTTCTAATCATAGTTAATATTCTTAAATACCTTATTAGGTATTCAGTGACTGAGTGAGATGAAAGTGAAATCCAAGTACACATAGACCCTTTAAAATGTGGGGAAATGAAGAAGAAAAATAAATACGATAAAATATTTCGTATAATCTTAATGAGACTTTATAGATCCACGATCTCGAATATTTTGGATTTTGTGTATGTTTACCACCTTTAATAAAAAGGTCACCATTCTGATAACCTCGTTAATAGGTATCCTTTATGAAAGTTTGAGTATTTGGTTGTAAAATCGAAGTACTTATTGAGGAACATTTTTAATCTTTACATTTCCTGCTTTGGATTATTCCAAATATTTTTTTTGCATTACTTAAAGTTGTTTTGTTCTGTAAAGTCCGAGAATGCGTATATGCCCAATATCGAATTTATAATAGGACAATAGACCTATCAGTTGCATCGATACAAATAGTAGACATTAAGATTGTTATTTTCACATTCGATATCGGTCCCTCTTTGAACGATGTTAGAGTGTGTTTCTATAGCTAAATAAAAATAGGTAAAAAATCTTTTTAAGTTAAACGGTTTTACGTGAAACATATGTACATTGCAATCTTGGATTTCAATTTTTTATAATACATTGTATTCTACTGGTTGAGCACTTTCAATTGATACCTATATTGATGGAATTGGTAAAACATAAATTATCCGCCATTTTGTAGCGGCGGCCATCTTGAATTTATAATGATAATGAATAAACATAATTGTATTGTCACCAAAATCTAAAGTGTATACAAAATTTCAGATTAATCGGTTGACAGGAAGAGGGTGAAATTTGAATTACTAAATTTGACCCAAAAAGAATAAATAATAAATAAAACAAACGGGTTGAGCTAAATAAAACCGTTTAAAAATGTGTTCCGGATAAATGGCTGTAAGCTTGGTTAGCAATTGAAAGTGTTTGCTAAACATTTTCTAGATCAACAAACAGTAAGGGCCAGTTCTTTTTTCTAGCAGTGAAATTTATAAGACAGTGTTCCTCTCCCTCAACATTTGTTATATGTAGATGCGAAAAGTCAATAGATTTAAGTTGCTCTTTGAACAGCTTTCAATTGTAATATGTGGTAACTTGATAATCATATGTAAGTTATATTATATTAGGTTTATATACAGGGTTATTTTTAATCCAAATTTTTAGCCTAAACTCAACCCTATTGAGTATCATACATGTCAAAGTTTTTTATTTTTTATCTACTAATTAAACTCGCAAATTATATATCAGACCCAAATTTTGAAGGAAGACTTAGATTTCAGTTCTATTATTTATTTAATGTATTATTATTAATAAAGTCCTCCCTTAATAGTTTTTTCGGATTTCATATGAATTAGTTCTACCTATACTAATATTTTCCTTATTTGTATACTAAAATAATATTTTAAAGAAATTATTAGTATCAGAGACAAATTTACTTCTAACTTTTATTAAAATTAAAATTACTTCCTAGATTTGTAGATAATTTTAATTTTATTTACAAAATTTTATATTCAGAAGCGCAAGAGGCATGGGAAGTCAACTGGGCTGTCGGTGGTGTTCTTGGCGCTGCATTTACTATCGCATTCATACTATGTCTTGCACTTATTGCTTCAAGATTACGACACACTGCTAGAGATTACGGAGGTTTGAATCAATTAAATAAATAATGTTGTTAGTAAAATTATATATTTGTTTATTCATAGTCTGAACAGCAATTTTATGATTATTTTCTTTTTGTAGTGACAGTACAATCAACGAAGAAACAAGAGGTGATTCTACAGAAAAGGTGCTCGCTGGACGATCGTAATCCGGATCTCATCCCTCTCAGTAAAAGTAATTATAGTATTATTTCACATTTCTTTTTGTAAGAGTGTTTTCATCTCTTTCTATTCCAGAGAGATGGTATAAGTAAAATATTTACAAAGCACCCTTAGTAACAAAAGAAAAACGATTCTTCCCGCTGAATATCAAAATTATGATTTATATAAATTTTTTGGCTTACAAAATATCATACAAATCTAGATATTTAATATCTGCAAGCAATCAATTCTTTACAAATATTTATTTCAAAGCGTCCGAAATAAAATCTTAAATTTGTCAAACACAAAGTTTAACAATAGTTTTGTTTCTTCCGTACTTTTACTGAATATATTTCAACAAGCGGTCATACGAATCGATCAACAACGCACAAATGTCCTTATAAAAAAATCATGATCCTTTGTCTATTCTCCACTAAGGAGATCATTATATCAATCGAAAGTAGCTCGGAATTATTATGTTACCAATGCAAAAATATTTGCAATAATCACGAATCAATCAAAACACAGACTGAATTATTTACTTTTAGTTATAAAATATCTTTAAACCCAAACACATTTTCCTAATTGAACCAAAAAAAAAAGCTTTAATATTAGAAGCGGTAAGATATAGAGTTTTCGGGGCTTGAAATTTGATTCCAATATACAACTTTCTCAGTATTTTTTGTATAGTTTCAATATTATTAAATTTTATATATATATATATATATATATATATATATATATATATATATATATATATATATATATATATATTTCAACTGTTTTATCTGAGCACTGGTATTTTGCCCATATCGGAACCCCTTTTTTATTATAAATATTTCTGTGTAACATTTTTCAGTTTTAACACGACGTGTGAGTGACGTTCATTTTGTTTGTATCGAAAAAAACTGTTGTGGTCGTAATTTATATTGTATATAGCAGTTTGATTATTTTTGAAAAAAAAATGACGTCATAGTAATGGAAACAAAATTTAAATATGGATTTGTTGCTCAAATGCGTGCAATAAAGCTTTCTATACGTCACAGATGTTGTTAGAAATATTGCACTATAATTCGGGAATGAATGATTTTATTGATATACGGTGGGCAATGTCTGCTCCAAACTTTGCTAGTTAAAACCGAGTTGTACGCTTAAATCTTTTCATCCCCACTTAAGAGTATTAATAAAGGAAGTTGAACGTTCTTTTTGTTTGTTTTCATCTCAGTGTTGTAAAGAGAATAATTGACTCTTTTTGAACGGGTGCGCTTTTTTTAAAGATTGCATATTTCTGGGTATGAGTATTAATAAAATTCTATAAATTGCACCCATGTAAGGGAGTATTAATTTTTGGAATTAGAGAAATAAATCTAGCATAAATATTTATGACATTCTACGGTAATTTTTAAAACAGCATAGATATGTATATCAAAATAAATCATAAGTAGATTAAAAAAATGTGCAACATTTTCAAAAGGCATTGAAGTTGAAACCTGTCCCCCATGCTCTTATTTTCCTTCTTTTTCTTCCTGGCAGTTTCCCAGCTTTAGCCAGGGTCTGCCATGCTCTTATTCTTTATTAAAAAATAATAATAAAGCTTAATTTATTCCTTAACAATTGATTTTTACATAATTTTCGTACACTATCAAATACATATGAATTTGTAATAACGATTTCAAGATTTAAGTTAAAATTTAGATAAAAAATATACAATACAAAATGTATAGTTTAATAATTGATTTACATGCATATAAAAAAAATTATATTATTATCATTAAGGACCTCTCCACAGAGTTAGGGCCTCCTCCATTTTACTCCACTGATCTCTGTCTGAAGCCTTTTGTAACCGGTCATTTCCTACTGTGTTCGCTATATCATCGAGGCACATCTCTCTTGGTCTACCTCTCTTTCCTGACGGTCAATTCCAAGTTTCGTCCGTTTTATCCATCTATAGTTATTCATATCTGCAACATGGCCAACCCATTCCCATTTTAATTTTTTGGAGTTTTCTAAAGCATCTCTAACTTTAAAGCTTATATTGAAATTTATTTGTCTTCTAATTGATAGCCCTGTAACACACACTTTTCACTTCTTAAGTGTTCCAAGTTTTTCACGTTTTAGGCACTACACGATGACAAGGTTTTTGTTTTGTATTCCACTGTTCTTACGCAATTTCTCGTACGGATTATATTGAATATATCACTTGTAACACTATTTTAGATCTTTATTTAATATTTGGAATATATTTAACACTAATTTGGATCGTTTTTTTATTTCTTAAAGTTAAACTAATACAGAAACGATGTTGACACTTGCGCGGCAGCACGCTACACCATTATTCTATAATATATTACCTGATATTGTACAGTTTTTCACCTCAGACATTACAATTTACATTGAAACCAATAAATTTATCGTGACATTCCTACACATTTCCGATTAAATTTTAATTTGCAGCTAAGTTTACTACAGCCTATAAGGTCAAAACATCTATACGTACTTGAAATCAATCCCTTAAATCTTATTATTTACAACACCTAAAAGTCGTTACCTTTTTAAAAAAAAGGATACACTCAAATTCTAAGAATAGACTTCATACAGCTAACAACTTATTTTTACAATTGTAAATTTACTTATTTCATAATATTTGTTTTCTGTATTATTGACATTTGAAGTGAGTTATTGAAAAGTTATATTGCCATGTATTATAGACTGTCTGTGATAACATAGTCGACACTAATAGGATATTGCTTTTGGAGATACAGGATATTCGAGAATACTGATTGTATTTTGGTAAAGCTTGATTGGCATCTATTTATTGGAAAAAATTGTTTTGCATTTAACCTACACATTAAAAATCATAAAAAAAATTCATAGATTAACGAAATCAATTTTTTATTCTCTTTTAGTCAATTAACATGTAATAATATTAATAGTTTTGTTAAAGCATTATGAAGCACAATACACTGGTTCTTAGACTTAAAAATGGTTATAAAGTTCATATTTTTTGTATAAAGCTTTATTATTAATTTAGTTTTAAAGGTCTTCATGAAAGATATATTTGATGGGCCCTTCTTACTTTAACAGAAACTTTTATCAAGTTTTGCAAGTAAATGTGACATTGCAAATTTTTAAGAACTTTCAATATAGTGGCATTCAGTATAAAATTAAAGGTGACTTTTTATTTTTTATATAACATTTTTAAATAAGTATGTATATCCTTACTTACTTTAAATACACGTTGTATAAGCACGTGAACATCATTGATATATTTACTATGTACAACTGTTAAAACTTTGTGATTTATAGCAATATTTAAATATCTACTTCTTGTTAGCTATAATAAAAAAGCATACTCTGAAAATAATAAACATATTAAATTATTTATACATATTTATACTTCTTCATAAATATTTTTATTATATTAACATTTGCTATAATTACTCTGGTTAAAATCACTTAGTTTACAACGTGTATGTACTTTCAATTTGACGCTAGTAAATTACTTGGTGTCAGGTGTTATAATGCCATTTAAACTTTTCTCATTTTACGTTGTCATGTCGGAACATACGCTAGTTAAATCAAAATGTAAACTCTCAATGTGGGAATATTAATAAAGACAAAGTATGATTATTTTTCTATATATATTCTTGTACTTCATATAATTACTCGTTAAAATCATAAATATGGAGGAGTGTATATATCTCTATATATATGTATGTACCTATATGTTGACATAAATTAGGTAAAAGAAAGTTATATTTAAAAAATACAAATAAAAATAGTATACTTTTTCCGAGAATCAAATAAAAAGACTAAAAACATAAATCCGTAGTTTTTACGCCTCAAATGGAAATTCCCCTGCGTCTTGAGTCAATTTAATCTCAAATATTCTTCCATACGTGCAACGTTTTCTAATATTTATCGTGAAGGCATATATAACATCAGAATGCTGTTTTATCTGGTTTTTATGGAATGAAATGAAAATACTTTGGTACACAATCGTCAGTACATTAAATTTAAATTCTAATTAAATTTCGGTTAGAACTGAATTCAAAGTAACTAGACTATTTAAAGGGTAAACTAGCAACAAGCAATTATAAATCATTCCTTTATTTTTATCTACGTTAATTAAATCAATATATGACGTAAACAATATTTTGTTTTTATATCAGGGAATAATTTTCAAACAAAGGTTTAAAGTAACTAACATTCTAAGACCTGAAATGATTAACTAATAATTGACTGTACTGTAATGAATGGTACAAAAAGTCCGTGGTGGCCTAGTGGTTAAAAGCCCGCTTCTCGTGCATAATGGCGCGGGTTCGATCCTGTCAAGTGATGTGATTTTTCCGAGTCATATATACATACTTTCTAAGAGTATTTAGACACCGCTGACAGACGGTGAAGGAAAATATCGTGAGTAAACCTGGACTTATAATTTTACAATTATAAGTTTGAAATCACCAACCCGTCTTGAGCAAGCGTGGTGATTAATGATCAAACCTTCTTCACGTGAGAAAGAGGCCTTTTGTCAGCCGTGGGCTCTGATAGGCTGATGACAATGTAATGAATGGAACTTTAACTATTATTTTCAGTTTTTTCATGATTAAGAGTGACTTAACAAGCAGTTTACTGTACTGCAAGCAAAGGGCAGTTACGTTGAAAGCTTATAGATAAAACAATCATTAACCATATTTTACAAATCATTAAGTGTGGTTTATAGTTAAAAGAATTACAATTGGGGTGTATTTTAATTGAATAAATTTAAATCTCATGAATTGCAGGACAAAAAATGCTTCATTGTTTGTATTAAGCCGAATAATTGGAACAGAGTGATCCCTAATGAATTTGTCGATCGATTACATTCCAGAGGGTTGTGAAGAATTACTTCTATAGTAACAAAACGATTTTTAAAAAAAATCTCGAGTACTTTCATTAATATGCTGTAGGCTATGTTCACTCAGGTTTAATTAATTTATGAACATTAAATGACCTAATTTAGTTGATAATAACTATGGTTTAAAAGTATAAATATATTTTTATATTAGTCATCTAAGATTTTGAAATCATATTCGTTACTACAATAACATTATTGCATAGTATGGTTTGAAGG